CAGAAGGTGACAAAAGAATGCGCTTTATTTAATGGATGTTATACCAGACCTGTAACAATATTTACTTTGATACAGCCAACACTATACTAATTCGGATCAGTTCAGAAATTTGTATATCAGTAACTTGTATTATACTTGTATTATAACTTGTATATCAGATTATAACAGCTGTGACATTCCCATATGTAGTAATAATGTTCCGTATGAATAGATGGTGCTAAAATGTGATTATGCTTGTTAATTATTTAAAAAGACAACAATGGCTTCTCGAGGGGCATCAGAAACAAGCAAACTCAGACAAAACATGGAAGAACAGCTGGACCGGTTAATGCAACAGCTTCAGGATTTAGAGGAGTGCAGGTAATGGCATCCCACCAGTTCTCTGTAACACACATTCAGTTACATGCACAAATTTGATTATTTTTTCAATTGCAGAGAAGAACTTGAAGAGGAGGAATATGAAGAAACCAAAAAAGAGACACTAGAACAGTTGAGCGAGTTCAATGAGTCATTAAAGAAGTTGATATCTGGGAATATGACACTAGTTGATGAACTGGGGGGAATGCAGCTGGTAAGAATTTACATTTTATTGTATTGAAGTTCATATATATATATATATATATATATATATATATATAGATGATTTTTTTTAAATTACTGTACAAAGACATCTAGACTAACGTCTACTAGTATAAATAATTTTGTATGCTGAGAGATCATTTACTGCACATATTTATCAGGCAATCCAAGCTGCCATCAGTCAGGCATTCAAGACACCTGAAGTCATTCGGCTGTTTGCAAAAAAGCAGCCAGGGCAATTGAGGACAAGACTGGCTGAGGTGAATATTAATTGTTTTTAAATATTAAAATTTTCAAATATATATGCAGAGACTTAAATACGTTCTTATGATACTGTGTGAATTCAGATGGACCGTGATATGATGGTTGGAAAGCTCCCTCGAGATGTGTACACTCAGCAGAAAGTGGAGATCCTCACGGCTCTGAGAAAACTTGGCGAGAAGGTGAGAAGGATATTATTGACACAAATACTCTCACATCTATTTCAAGACTCGCATGTTAAAACTGTTTCTGATAACTGTAACTTGTTTGAATGCACAGCTGACAACAGAGGATGAAGCGTTTCTTGCTGCAAATGCTAGTGCCACTCTGAGCCACTTTGAGAAGGTGACTGCGAGCCTGGGTAAGATGAGAAGCAGCTAATTATTACTAATGAAGCATACTTTGCTTACTAAATATCTCTTTAATAATCAAATGCATCTTACCTTTCCAGGATCTGAAGATAAGATAATGGCATTGGCCAGTTCTGGAGTTGGGAAGACCCCGACATAAAGGCTTACTAGGATTGACATTTATTGTGAGTGTGGCTTAAATGCTGTCTGTGCATTTTACAGTATTTACAGTAATTTTTTAAACAATGGTTGCAATTTGTACACTTAGGAACAGAATTGTCAGATGACATCATGTGGTCACTCAACCTAAAGTAAATACATTGGGATTCATCAGACAGTTATTTGTATTGTATACATCCTATTCCTATACATTTTATATTTGATTTGGGTACAGTGAAAAAAAGTGTTCACATTTTCAGTGAAATGTCTCAAATATATACACATCACTTTAGAATAGTTCTTAACAATTTTTCTGAATACAGTGAGGTAAAATTGTCTTTATTCAAAAAGGTCTTGATTCATTTTTAACCCTTTGGTTATAATGTTATTTATTAATCTTATCATCAAGCTGTTCACCAATAAGCCTTTGGTACTAGTATTTGATAGTAAAATAGACTGTGATTACTATGCATTTTAATTTTGTTTGTCATTACTTTTTTTAACCAGTGTGATATTTGTAAATATTTTGTATTTGAATATATTTGATGATCAACATCTGAAACGTTGCCAGTGTTTTCTCTTTTCTCTATTTACAATAACCTTTCTCTTTCTCTAGTTACAATAACTTTTTTTTTTTTTTTGCATTGCATTGCACATTGTATTTGGTTGAAAAAGAGGTCAAAAACATGGTTAATCTCTGCAAATTCCATTACAAACTGGATTGTGATCTTTGGGAAATCATTATCAGTATAATTATTTATAAACCTTATAAGAAATTCCACACTACCAGGTTAACATAAAAATAACAAACAGACTGTCAGTCTAATCATTTCACTGTGACATTAGCAGGCTTCTGTATCTTCTCTGAACCACAGAGACGTTTTGTTTATATGAATTAGATATGAATATTTTTCCGTTTTCAAGCACTAGGTGGCACTCTAGTCCTGGCAACATTACTGTGGTCTGTATTTCACATACAGTCTGGTAATTCACCTTCATCATAGAGGCCTCATGAAAGATGAAATACATGAGAAAAGATCAAGGTGAATGATTATTATATATTATAAATATTGATTATTTTAATTTATATATATTACTTATTACATATACACATTTAAATACTAGCATTGGTGAGCATAAGAGACTTCTTTTCAAAAACATAAAAAAATCTTACAGACCCCAAACTTCTGACCGGTAGTGTTTTCATAATGTATTTACATTGTATATTTTTACAGTCTTCATATTATATTTTATTTTTATATGTATGTCATATTTGTATTTAATATTTTATATATTCTTTTTTAAATAAAGAATATTTTTACAACTCTTTTAAATTTTGTTATAACATGTATTAATAATAAATACAAATTAAATTAGTGTTTCATTTGAGTATATTGCTGTAAAAATCGGTGTCCACTGCAAAACCAAAATCCAGTAGAAAAACACTGGTCTGTTCTCAAAAAGTATTTCACATGTTTCTCTTCATTAGTAGTTTCAATTTTCACTTCTTACACCTTTACATTTGCTTCAAAGTGTTCCACTAGCAGAGGAATGCTGTCAGACAGTGCTGAGAGATGCAGATTGTGCTGAACTGTGTAAACACTCATAAATATAACTCGCTGTACATTGTTTCTCTACTGTCTGGAGAGCACATCAGCCGTTAATTTTATTGCCTGTTTTCAAGTATTGTGACAGAGTGGCATTCTAAAGTAAACACCCTTTTAAGTGCCCTGAGCAATAGTTCCTATTAGAATTTATCCTAAGGACTGCTGTGGATTATTTTAGCTTTTTTATTATTTTACCATATACTTGCTTTTGTGTTAATATAAGAAGAGCTCTGACAAATGTTTTTATTTTGTTCCAGCTTTCTCCTCTTCCCACACCTCACTGTGTCCTCATCATTGTTGTTCTCGCTGGAAATAAGTTCTGCATGATGGTGCCTAGTAAAGATCAGAATGATCTGATTTAATGTCAATTTTGCATAAAACTTTGATCATTTTGACATAGTAGCACATCAAATATGACGTCCTACCATGCACACAAGATCAGATGTGACATGGAACTCATGCAAAAAAAGAAAACACTACAATAGGTGCAAAACAGAATAGGTGTATCAGATTTATCTTTCACTTCACCCAAAATGAAGTCTCTTAAATCACATGATCTTAAGACGTTCCCACCGAACTACTTTGGCTGTCTCCACCCACTCCGGCTGCGAGAGGGTGCTCGCTGCAGAGCCAAATGGGAGGAGCTGGAGCTCTAGCTCCCCCTCGCTGGATGTAATGGGTGGAGCTAGACACCCAACCACTCCCTAACCCTACCCCTTACCCTATCGCTAAACATAACTTCACCCATTAGTTCACACAGAGGTGGAGCTGGACATCCAGAGAGGGGGAGCTGGAGGTCATTTGGCTCTGCAGTGAGCAGTACTTGCCGGCTGCTGGCTCTCCCAGTCATCCACTGTGATCCAATCAGAGTTCTCCGTGGCTAGCCATCTCTAACTGATGGCAGGCTTCAATCAGACCTGTCTTTTTATAGCTATCTCCAAATGGAGAGATTATGCCTTTCACCACTATGTATCTTCCTAAATCAACAAAAAAAGTTGTGTATGTTAAATATGCATGTTTGATGAGTGATAACAAAATAGAGGACTTTTATAATAATATAGATTCACATTAAAGGGATAGTTCACCCAAAAAAAAAAAATTCGTCATCACTTACTCATCCTAATGTTGTTCCAAACTTTTATGAGTTGTTTTCTTCTGTTGTACACAAAAGAAGATATTGTGAAGAATGCTTGTAATCAAACATGACATCAATAGATTTTGTTCCATACTATGAAAGTCAACAGTTTGGTTACCAAACTTCTTCAAAATTCTCCATTCTTCTTTTGTGTTCAGTAGAAGAAAGAACTTGAGGGTGAATAAATTATGACAACATTTTCATTTTTGGGTGAACTATCCCTTTAAAACTTTTTTTAAAATAAAACTTACCAGTGTCTTCAAGGTGATCCCGAGCCAGTTCGAACATACAGAGGTGCATGTTTGTGATGGGGTTGAAAGACCCGCATGCCAGCATAATAAAGGTTTGTTTCAGGATATATTATTATTATTATTGTTGTTGTAATTAAATATAAATATTACCTAAATGGAAATCACAATTAAATCTCGTTTCCTGCCTCCAAAGTTTAGGTATATGCATTACTACTGTAGTTCATGAGCTAACAGTGTATGTTATCTAATAATTAACTATTCTTAATGACACAAATGGGTTTAGGAATGATATTCTATTCAATAAAACGCCATTCCACAAATATGCGCAATAATATGTAATCAAAGCAGGACTAAACGTGTTTACTTCTTAGCAATTCAACAAACTTGTCTAGTGCTTCCTATTTATCTAATTGCAGTGGTTGTGCTTCAGTAAAACTTCACCGACTTTATTTAGCCAACAGATGCAGCGAAATATTGCTCTATAGTAAACAAACAGCAAGACCGACAAAATGCGAAGTTCTTAAAAATATTCGTATTTTACCCTTGTAGTACTAGCTGTAATAGTACCGTGGAACAAATGATCAATGCGCGTGTGACCATGCGCAATTCCTACGTCTTCGTAGTGTGTTCATGATAATCAACTCTGCGCAGAGTTTACGCAGAGAAGCCATTGGCTTTCTATTGGAGATAAATAGTGCTAGCAAACCACACCTTAGCAACTGGACTTGGGAACTTAAGTCTCATTATAATTTTGTCTTCATCAGTAGGACTTTTTTTGGAGAAAAAAGTACGGGTGAGAATTACTACTTGATTCACGTAAAATCATGCCGTTTAGGATCCTGTTACAGTTCGTACGTTTGTTTGTTTCTATATATTTTAGTGCAAGCTAAGCTAACTGCGCAGTGAGAGAGAATAAAGCAGAAGGTGACAAAAGAATGCGCTTTATTTAATGGATGTTATACCAGACCTGTAACAATATTTACTTTGATACAGCCAACACTATACTAATTCGGATCAGTTCAGAAATTTGTATATCAGTAACTTGTATTATACTTGTATTATAACTTGTATATCAGATTATAACAGCTGTGACATTCCCATATGTAGTAATAATGTTCCGTATGAATAGATGGTGCTAAAATGTGATTATGCTTGTTAATTATTTAAAAAGACAACAATGGCTTCTCGAGGGGCATCAGAAACAAGCAAACTCAGACAAAACATGGAAGAACAGCTGGACCGGTTAATGCAACAGCTTCAGGATTTAGAGGAGTGCAGGTAATGACATCCCATCAGTTCTCTACAGCACATTCAGTTACATGCACAGAAAAATACAAAAATGTCATTATTTTTCTATTGCAGAGAAGAGCTTGAAGAGGAGGAATATGAAGAAACCAAAAAAGAGACACTAGAACAGTTGAGCGAGTTCAATGAGTCTTTGAAGAAGTTGATATCTGGGAATATGACACTAGTTGATGAACTGGGGGGAATGCAGCTGGTAAGAATTTACATTTTATTGTATTGAAGTTCATATATATATATATATATATATATATATATATATAGATGATTTTTTTTAAATTACTGTACAAAGACATCTAGACTAACGTCTACTAGTATAAATAATTTTGTATGCTGAGAGATCATTTACTGCACATATTTATCAGGCAATCCAAGCTGCCATCAGTCAGGCATTCAAGACACCTGAAGTCATTCGGCTGTTTGCAAAAAAGCAGCCAGGGCAATTGAGGACAAGACTGGCTGAGGTGAATATTAATTGTTTTTAAATATTAAAATTTTCAAATATATATGCAGAGACTTAAATACGTTCTTATGATACTGTGTGAATTCAGATGGACCGTGATATGATGGTTGGAAAGCTCCCTCGAGATGTGTACACTCAGCAGAAAGTGGAGATCCTCACGGCTCTGAGAAAACTTGGCGAGAAGGTGAGAAGGATATTATTGACACAAATACTCTCACATCTATTTCAAGACTCGCATGTTAAAACTGTTTCTGATAACTGTAACTTGTTTGAATGCACAGCTGACAACAGAGGATGAAGCGTTTCTTGCTGCAAATGCTAGTGCCACTCTGAGCCACTTTGAGAAGGTGACTGCGAGCCTGGGTAAGATGAGAAGCAGCTAATTATTACTAATGAAGCATACTTTGCTTACTAAATATCTCTTTAATAATCAAATGCATCTTACCTTTCCAGGATCTGAAGATAAGATAATGGCATTGGCCAGTTCTGGAGTTGGGAAGACCCCGACATAAAGGCTTACTAGGATTGACATTTATTGTGAGTGTGGCTTAAATGCTGTCTGTGCATTTTACAGTATTTACAGTAATTTTTTAAACAATGGTTGCAATTTGTACACTTAGGAACAGAATTGTCAGATGACATCATGTGGTCACTCAACCTAAAGTAAATACATTGGGATTCATCAGACAGTTATTTGTATTGTATACATCCTATTCCTATACATTTTATATTTGATTTGGGTACAGTGAAAAAAAGTGTTCACATTTTCAGTGAAATGTCTCAAATATATACACATCACTTTAGAATAGTTCTTAACAATTTTTCTGAATACAGTGAGGTAAAATTGTCTTTATTCAAAAAGGTCTTGATTCATTTTTAACCCTTTGGTTATAATGTTATTTATTAATCTTATCATCAAGCTGTTCACCAATAAGCCTTTGGTACTAGTATTTGATAGTAAAATAGACTGTGATTACTATGCATTTTAATTTTGTTTGTCATTACTTTTTTTAACCAGTGTGATATTTGTAAATATTTTGTATTTGAATATATTTGATGATCAACATCTGAAACGTTGCCAGTGTTTTCTCTTTTCTCTATTTACAATAACCTTTCTCTTTCTCTAGTTACAATAACTTTTTTTTTTTTTTTGCATTGCATTGCACATTGTATTTGGTTGAAAAAGAGGTCAAAAACATGGTTAATCTCTGCAAATTCCATTACAAACTGGATTGTGATCTTTGGGAAATCATTATCAGTATAATTATTTATAAACCTTATAAGAAATTCCACACTACCAGGTTAACATAAAAATAACAAACAGACTGTCAGTCTAATCATTTCACTGTGACATTAGCAGGCTTCTGTATCTTCTCTGAACCACAGAGACGTTTTGTTTATATGAATTAGATATGAATATTTTTCCGTTTTCAAGCACTAGGTGGCACTCTAGTCCTGGCAACATTACTGTGGTCTGTATTTCACATACAGTCTGGTAATTCACCTTCATCATAGAGGCCTCATGAAAGATGAAATACATGAGAAAAGATCAAGGTGAATGATTATTATATATTATAAATATTGATTATTTTAATTTATATATATTACTTATTACATATACACATTTAAATACATTAAATGTGTGTGGGTTATTCCTGGGATTCGGTAACATTTCAATGTGGACATTTTTTTTCAACTACATATGATCTAAATACCCCACATCGTAAGGCACATATCAAACCTCCAAAAAATCATATTTTCCCACCTCAGGCGTTAAATATCTTTTATTTATTTTTTCAGATTTAGACACCTTTTATTCTCAACCCCGTAACAGACAAAATGGGATTAGTTTAAAAAGGATTTTACACAGAACTTGTTATAAAACAAACATCTACCTACTGCTCATGTGTCCCTCATAACGATTTAATGATAACAAATGTAACATTTATCACAATTTTCACATTTTTATAGGACTGAAGTTAAAAATAGACAAATTGTGTGTCTATGGTCTCTTTTTGTAAAAAAAAAAATTTTTAATTTAGATGTTTAACTAAAACCACATTTTTATTGTTTTAGTCCTTTAACGTTAGATGGTAATCAGCAAGAAATGCTTTCATGTTTAATTGTCTTCCCTTTTTTCCCCAAAAATATTACTGTGACAAAGTGTGACGGGGTTGAAGACTGTAACACATTTGAAGGAATACATTGCCTTCAAGTTTAATTTTCAGTTTTTGTTTTTCTCATATTGTCCTCTTCCTTCTGGGTCAACATATCTGCATTCCCAACATTGTCTTTCTGCTGCTAATGTGGAAGCAATTTCTGATGTAGGATGCTTGTCAAAATTTAAGTGGACATATATTAAATATTCTATTTATAACAAAAATATGAGTTGTCATTATTTTGGTAAGTATATATTTACTGAAACAATGACCATTTTATATATTTTTTAATTAAAATTAATAATAATTTTAGTAAATAACTCAACTCTGTCACAAGTTTACAACCCCAAAACAATTAGAAATATACATATTTGTGACAGGGTTGAGAGTGATGGGGTTGTATTTATTTTTTGCTCAAAATGGCCACTGCTCCTTATGTAGCGTAGGAGAGTAGTTCATATATTGCAGCAATAAAATAAGCACATTGTATATACTTATGGATTAAAATAAAATGTTAAAAAATAATAATTTTCCATCTTAATTTTATGTAACAGGGTTGAGTTGTTAAGCTTGACCGTACCATCCCTGACTATAATACACCTCAAAAATAAGAATAAAAAGTATGATACTACTTACCATTTTCTGCACCACTATTAAAGAGACCCGAATGATGTAATTTCTGGTAAATGGTGTCACATATGGGTGGAGTCTAATTTATTACGGGCATTGAATGGTTAATGTGTTGAGCTCAGACTGAGGAACATAACCTTAAAAGTGTTTTTTTCTAAAATATATCTCACAAGAAAGGAACACAAATAAATGCTTACATTATTGCCCAAAAATTTAGACACTGCACATTTTGTTAATAATTTTCTAAGTACAAACTCAGTGAAGTGCCTCAGGGACATGATAAAATGCTTGGTGTAAGATAGAATTTAGATATTATTTTATGCTAAAAATTATTTAAATGCAATAATCGTTTTTATTCATTATAATGGCCATACCAAAGTATTGTGAAAAGCTTTTAACACTTTAAAAAGGGACTGAAATGTTGCCGAATCCCAGGAATGACCCGTGTATAGAAATATGTATATAATCTATAAAAATGAAAATATTTTTTAAAATTACATATGCACACATTTATATTATAGTAAATATAATATTCAAATATATTAATTGATAAAAACATGTTTGTGATAATGTAAAGGTGGGCATAGACAGAAACTGTATCATATATAATTATCAAGTGAAATAATCGGAATGCCAACATTCCCATCTCATCCTTTATTTTGTTCATGAGCAAGCATCGACTTCACTTATTTTTCCGTTTTCAAGCACTAGGTGGCACTCTAGTCCTGGCAACATTACTGTGGTCTGTATTTCACATACAGTCTGGTAATTCACCTTCATCATAGAGGCCTCATGAAAGATGAAATACATGAGAAAAGATCAAGGTGAATGATTATTATATATTATAAATATTGATTATTTTAATTTATATATATTACTTATTACATATACACATTTAAATACATTAAATGTGTGTGGGTTATTCCTGGGATTCGGTAACATTTCAATGTGGACATTTTTTTTCAACTACATATGATCTAAATACCCCACATCGTAAGGCACATATCAAACCTCCAAAAAATCATATTTTCCCACCTCAGGCGTTAAATATCTTTTATTTATTTTTTCAGATTTAGACACCTTTTATTCTCAACCCCGTAACAGACAAAATGGGATTAGTTTAAAAAGGATTTTACACAGAACTTGTTATAAAACAAACATCTACCTACTGCTCATGTGTCCCTCATAACGATTTAATGATAACAAATGTAACATTTATCACAATTTTCACATTTTTATAGGACTGAAGTTAAAAATAGACAAATTGTGTGTCTATGGTCTCTTTTTGTAAAAAAAAAAATTTTTAATTTAGATGTTTAACTAAAACCACATTTTTATTGTTTTAGTCCTTTAACGTTAGATGGTAATCAGCAAGAAATGCTTTCATGTTTAATTGTCTTCCCTTTTTTCCCCAAAAATATTACTGTGACAAAGTGTGACGGGGTTGAAGACTGTAACACATTTGAAGGAATACATTGCCTTCAAGTTTAATTTTCAGTTTTTGTTTTTCTCATATTGTCCTCTTCCTTCTGGGTCAACATATCTGCATTCCCAACATTGTCTTTCTGCTGCTAATGTGGAAGCAATTTCTGATGTAGGATGCTTGTCAAAATTTAAGTGGACATATATTAAATATTCTATTTATAACAAAAATATGAGTTGTCATTATTTTGGTAAGTATATATTTACTGAAACAATGACCATTTTATATATTTTTTAATTAAAATTAATAATAATTTTAGTAAATAACTCAACTCTGTCACAAGTTTACAACCCCAAAACAATTAGAAATATACATATTTGTGACAGGGTTGAGAGTGATGGGGTTGTATTTATTTTTTGCTCAAAATGGCCACTGCTCCTTATGTAGCGTAGGAGAGTAGTTCATATATTGCAGCAATAAAATAAGCACATTGTATATACTTATGGATTAAAATAAAATGTTAAAAAATAATAATTTTCCATCTTAATTTTATGTAACAGGGTTGAGTTGTTAAGCTTGACCGTACCATCCCTGACTATAATACACCTCAAAAATAAGAATAAAAAGTATGATACTACTTACCATTTTCTGCACCACTATTAAAGAGACCCGAATGATGTAATTTCTGGTAAATGGTGTCACATATGGGTGGAGTCTAATTTATTACGGGCATTGAATGGTTAATGTGTTGAGCTCAGACTGAGGAACATAACCTTAAAAGTGTTTTTTTCTAAAATATATCTCACAAGAAAGGAACACAAATAAATGCTTACATTATTGCCCAAAAATTTAGACACTGCACATTTTGTTAATAATTTTCTAAGTACAAACTCAGTGAAGTGCCTCAGGGACATGATAAAATGCTTGGTGTAAGATAGAATTTAGATATTATTTTATGCTAAAAATTATTTAAATGCAATAATCGTTTTTATTCATTATAATGGCCATACCAAAGTATTGTGAAAAGCTTTTAACACTTTAAAAAGGGACTGAAATGTTGCCGAATCCCAGGAATGACCCGTGTATAGAAATATGTATATAATCTATAAAAATGAAAATATTTTTTAAAATTACATATGCACACATTTATATTATAGTAAATATAATATTCAAATATATTAATTGATAAAAACATGTTTGTGATAATGTAAAGGTGGGCATAGACAGAAACTGTATCATATATAATTATCAAGTGAAATAATCGGAATGCCAACATTCCCATCTCATCCTTTATTTTGTTCATGAGCAAGCATCGACTTCACTATAATTACTCCTTTGAATAATAGAAATGTGAATGAGCTGGAAGGAGCATCCAACAGTTCTACAACATCCCGTTTTCATTTCTACAGCAAAAAAAATAAAAAAAATAAAAGTAATTCAAAATGTGAACAATGACCACTGAAGGCTGCAAATCTGAGACAGATAATCTTTGATTCAGTAGTATCACCAGTATCCTGTCCCATCTGCTCCGCTCCAAACCCACAGTACCATGTGCCAGTTACAGGAAATATTTATATCTTGTGTTATACATGCAAAGACAATGCCCCGTTAGACAAGCACCATCTGCAGCTGTTCACACTCAGCACAGACTGCTTATTTATTATGGAAAGTTTCTGCGCCAGTGCCTTAAAATCATCAAAATCACATTGT